TGTTATTTATAAGACAGTAATACTAATAACACAAACAACTATTGTAGTATTAATAATATCTATATTAACTTTCAGCCTTGCGGATAGGAGCAAGAATGATCTCACACAGTATCCAGTATTTCCTTGGGTAGTAGCAGACTACACTTCAGAAACTTTAGACCTAACAAATCCAGATACATTTAGAGATCTATCGAAACCAATGGGAGCTTTAAACCCAGACAGACTGGAAAGACTCAAAGAAAGGTACCACGAGATGAGTGAACCAAAATTCTTATACGGATCTCATTATTCTGCACCCGGACTTGTTTTATTTTATCTAGTAAGTATGTAAATGTCTTATGTGGTCTTAGCAAATATAACATTTGCGTTTATGAAAATTGAGTTCGTTTTAAAACAATAGCGGTGTTAAAAAGTTCATAAATTAATATGTTTCAATGGAAAGTGTCCTTTATTTGGAAGACTATAGAGTTACTTCGTTTAAAATTGCATTGTGTTTTGATAACACTTATGGTTTTCCTTACAAATTGGTTTTTCCACTAGAAGTCAATTAAATGGTTCAAGTAGGTTCAGTCAGCTTGAACTGATTAAAAAGAGTCATGGTCATCTACTTAGTACAAAAAGTCTCTAACATTTGTTATGAGAGTTTTTATGTTTTATTATGCTATACAACTTATTGTATGGTTATCGGTCGCCATTGCTATTTCCGTCTATCGATTTATTAATATTTTGAGTTATCAGCACTGTTTTGACAGAAAAATAAAATTATAAGTTTGTTTTGTTCAATGGCATTGGAATTCTCTTCATCCGGAACTATTATTTGTACTAATTAGATTATAAAAATAAGTTCACTTCCACATAGTTATTTATTAAGTTATTTTTTGTTCTGGCAGTCAATAAACAGTGAAATAGGTCGAATAAAATAATCTTTTAATATTATTTAAAACTTTAATTCGTTTTTATATCTTCTGTTATTCTTAACTTTCAGGTTCGCAAATACCCAAAATACATGTTGTGCTTACAAAATGGCAGATTCGATCATCCAGACCGAATGTTCAATTCAGTAAGAGATGTCTACAACAACTGTTTGAGAAATATGTCCGACTTTAAGGTAAATTACAATTTTATTTTTTATTTGTGGTATATAGAATTTGTTAGTCACTCATAGAAGGCTGTTTTTTAATTCGTAATAGCATAGTTAAATACATTACTTATGATTCAGTTGTGATGTCATGAGAATGAAGAATTAATCATTAAACCTATTTTAATATGGGGTACTGAAACTTAAAACAGTATAGGGCCGATTTTCCAATCATCAGTTAATTCTAGAAAATCTAGAATATTCTAGAAAAACTGTAGAATAAAACTATTATTTCACAGTTTTTTTTTGTATGGAAGAATTGTCAAATATTCAAAGTTATTTCTCAGTGCAAATTTATCTGGCGTTGAAAAAATCGGCCCTTAATAGGCCCAAGTCAATATTAGTCATGTTGACCAAATACATATAGTTTTACAAGATTAATAGCATAAATGGTATTAATGAGTGTACTACTTTACCTACTTCCTACCCGTACGGGGAGTAACCAGTATCAAATTATGATGTAATGAGTACAATGCACATTGGAGCATTCGTCATTCCTCCAATCTGTACCGAACGCTTTATAAGGTCATCGACCCAAATAACGGGAGAGTCCCTAGATTTACTGAATTGTGACCAACGCTCAATGGTTCGTGACTCGATTAGGAACCCATACCTTTTCGTACTATACTATAACTATAGTTTGAATTTTTTTAATAAATGCCAAACAAAAGTTCAGGAAAAGGGAAAGGAAAGCTCAGTGATGCATTTTTATAACTCATCAATCGATATTGATAAAATTATCTTATCTTTTGGCTTAATTCCTATTTTATTGTTTACAGGAATTGGTTCCCGAATTTTACGATACAGATGGCAAAGGCGATTTTTTGGTGAACCAGTACGAGATCAATTTTGGAGAGCGCCACGATGGGACCAAGGTCAACAATGTTGCGCTCCCACCATG